TCTACCACGTATAAACGACGTACTTCATTTTTTTTTTCATTTTAAAATTGTTCTCGTAATAATCTGATTGTAAATAAATGTTCATTATTTTTTTTTATAAATAGCTTATCGATTAAAACAAATGTTTAAAAATAATTAAATCGCGCTAATTAAAGTAGTAGGAATGTTTAAAGTTGAAATTGGCACTAAAAGGCTGGTAATTAGGTCATCCACCCTACAAAGCGTGAATATAAAATTTTAATCAGATGCGTGTAATCACTCTGGGAGCTTGTAGCAAACTAAACTCGCGGCCAACGTGTGGACGCGGCGACCAAACTCTGCCAACAATCCTTTGATCTTTTGTAAAAAACCGACACCACACGGATCTCGCGCCAACTTGCGGGCCATCGTTCCAATACATACCAATGAAGCCCAAACACCCCGTCTACACGTTAGCCAATGCTATTGGCCACTACATTCGCCACTGTGTTGGCCAACGTGTAGAGGCGCCGTTAGACAATTCGAGCACCTAACTATCACAAAAAATCTACAATTATCACAAAATAGTTGTGAACAGGCACGTAATTTTGATTTTACATTATTGCCTATAACAGACAACTATTATTACGGCGCCTCTACACGTTGGCCAACACAGTGTCAATACAATATTGTTTTTTGTATTAACAATGAAATTACTGACAAAACGGTGAAAACGTGTATTAATATAGTTGTTTAGCATGTTTATAACTCTTAGTATATTTGTATAGAGTGTCGTTTTGATAACAAGTAATGTAAACAACTTTTATTATATTAAGAAAAATCGACCAATCACAGCGCGTCTTATCGTAGAACTCTCTAGAAGTTTTTTTAATTAACTGCGTAATAGTTCATACCAAAAATAATGAAAATAATTTTATGTTCTAAAAGAGTTGTAAATGTGACATTGAATTAGCATAAGGCTTATAGATTACAGAAGTGTAGGAATATTTTGTATAATTAAACGCATTTGATAGTTATATAAAAATTAAAGAATTAATGTACCCAAATATTATGTAAATCTGGGACATTTCGTTTAATAACTTTTTACAATGTTAATGTTTTTAGTAACCTTTATGATATAATAATAAAGTACCAGACTACCGATTTGATGATGTATAGCATGTTAGTGTAGCAATTAGTTTTGTATAGAAAATATTGTAATTTATGCCATTTGCATAGTGAAAAGTTTATGCAATAAAGAGGCAAAACGGAAAATGGCAAGCGGCTCACTGTAAAGTATTGCTAAAGTCTACCTTAGGGGCTCGTGACCCAGTAGGAGTAGTAGTGTGAAGAACTACCAGTGACAAGTGAAGTGAAGTGAGTGGTATCCGGTGGTAGCTGAAGTGACTAGTAGCAGTATATAGTGAATAGTGAAAGTGTTAGCTATCCTAAAAAAGGTCGTAAGTGATATTCGCAGTTACATATAGTGAAAGTGTTAGCTAGCCGAAAAAGGTCGTAACTGATATTCGCAGTTACACATAGTGAAAGTGTTAGCTAGCCTAAAAAGGTCGTAACTGATATTCGCAGTTACATATAGTGAAAGTGGTAGCTAGCCGAAAAAGGTCGTAACTGATATTCGCAGTTACATATAGTGAAAGTGTTAGCTAGCCTAAAAAGGTCGTAACTGATATTCGCAGTTGCACATAGTGAAAGTGTTAGCTAGCCGAAAAAGGTCGTAACTGATATTCGCAGTTACACATATTTAAAGTGTTAGCTAGCTGATAAAGGTCGTAACTGATATTCGCAGTTACATATAGTGAAAGTGTTAGCTAGCCTAAAAAGGTCATAACTGATATTCGCAGTTACATATAGTGAAAGTGTTAGCTAGCCGAAAAAGTTCGTAACTGATATTCGCAGTTACACATAGTGAAAATGTTAGCTAGCCGAAAAAGGTCGTAACTGATATTCGCAGTTACATATAGTGAAAGTGTTAGCTAGCCTAAAAAGGTCGTAACTGATATTCGCAGTTACACATAGTGAAAGTGTTAGCTAGCCGAAAAAGGTCGTAACTGATATTCGCAGTTACACAATAGTGAAAGTGTTAGCTAGCTGAAAAAGGTCGTTACTGATATTCGCAGTTACATATAGTGAAAGTGTTAGCGCCTAGCCGAAAAGTTCGTAACTGATATTCGCAGTTACATATAGTGAAAGTGTTAGCTAGCCGAAAAAGTTCGTTACTGATATTCGCAGTTACATATAGTGAGTGTTAGCTAGCCGAAAAAGGTCGTTAACTGATATTCGCAGTTACATATAGTGAAAGTGTTAGCTAGCCGAAAAAGGTCGTAACTGATATTCGCAGTTACATATAGTGAAAGTGGTAACTGATATCCGCAGTTACACAAGTGATAAAATCAGCTAGTTTAGTTGATAATAGCTGCTAGTTAGTAGTGTTAGAAAACCAGCTACTACCAATAGATATTTGATACCACCGTACAATTTAAAGAAATCTTTTGAAATATACGGTGACCAACCAATAGTGAACAACCGTAGTTCAAAACCGTGGTCAATAGTTATAAAATTTCGCGACTAAAATCAGTCGAACCGCTGGCCACTACCTTGCTAATTGTATTTATTAATCGTGCATTTTGATTTGAACCTCAGTCCACAATATTTCAGCGGCAACCACAAAGACGGCAGTGAAAGTACCCACCGGAACCTATAGGTGTAGGACGTGAGCGACTCGCGAAGTATCTTCGACAACATTTACTCCGGAGAGTTTCGCCCGTCCGGCACAGATTTGTTAGGAGACTATGTAGAAAAATAAATTATTATTTTAACTTTAATTACCGTGTTTTATTTTTATTATCATCACTTTTGGATCACCCCTCGTATCTAGAAAACTGGACCAAAATTGCAATATGTTTTAGTTTTTCCTTGATTGACACACTAAAGACTATTTGAAGCTTCTATGTTTGCTAGAGTTTTGATGATTGATCAGTCAGTCAGTGACAAAATTAAGAAACTGACTAATGATTTCTTAAATTTACGCGAACACGTCACAACAGAACACAGATCGTCCCCGCCATTACATCAGATTTGATAAACCACAAATCCTCGCAAAAGAACACCGATTCCTACCAAGGATGACGCGAGGCTATTGAAGTTAAAAAACATCCTAATTTCAATCTCCTATAATTAACAAAATTAAACCCAAACCCAAGCATACCACTGCAAGACTTCAAGATACTGTAAGCTCGTTTTGCGTAAATCGGACCAAAAATTAATATTCAAAAACTGAAGGTAGCCAGGCTAACAATGACATTGGGACGTTAAACATCTCAGTCCCCCCCCCCCCGTGACCATGGTCGCTGTAAAGCACCCGAAACGTCGGGTATTAAAAATAAGTAAAATCAGTTAAATAAACGCGATAGAATCCGTAAATTTAGTTTTATTCAAGAAACTGACTAGTTAAATTCTTAAACTTCTAGTTCAAATTGAATGAAATTTGAAATATACCGTGTATATCAATGTCTGCTTGGTTACTGAAAGTTTAGGCTTCTAAGTTTTATCTATTCTAGAAGTTATATGGGGCCGAAAATGGCCTGAACTGCTTCGAGAAAAGTATGGTACGGCCGTGCCGCTTATTATGCTCGACCTGGCGGGGGCACTGCCGTGCCCCCAGATCTCTCCCCCTTAATTTGTCATGTTTAACTTCTGCTTTATGTATGCCTCAGCTTTGCCATGGCAGACTTCCAAATATATGTTCGGCTTTACAACAACCAAAGGTTGCTGTTTTAATACAAATCAATCAATAAAAATATCTTTAGGTTTTATCATTTTCTTTATTGACATTAATATTTAAAAAGTACAGTTACGACAAAAATAAAGAATAGGCTTGAGGGGAACAAAAAGTGAGAAATATTACAATTTAATTTTTCTTTCATTGAAAAAATTTGGTTCAATAATATATATAAAAATTTACAATATGAATTTGGAGAGATATAATAACAAAACATATATGTTACAAATACTGTACTATGTAAGGCAATAGCCTACCTACATGTAGGTAGTGTAGAAATAAATCACTTGGAAAATATAAATCTGTAACAAAATATGCTTAAAGTAAACAAACTGCTCGTCGCGATGCGTACTCAAGTACTGTCTCCGTCGACGACAAAGGAACTAACTTCGTAACGTCAAATACTGTGACCCTAACAATAAAAAACCTTAGCACTACATCCACTCGTCCTAGAACCTCCCACGCGACTCAAACAGTCCGACTATCCCTGTCATCTCACATAAAATATTATTAAATATAGACTAATTACAATATAGAATATAGCCTAGACACTAAATACTACATCTTGGACTAACTCTTGCATAGTTTTTTGGACAGATTGATGCCACAAAAATAATGTTATAATATTTTATTGTGACAAAAAATATGTATTTCCATATATTAAAATACATTAAATCTATCAGAAAAGTTTTAGATGTTATCCACTCCAAAATGACATGGAACAGAAAACAATCGAGTCATTTTAAAACTATTGTAATATTTCCATGGTTTTCCATATTTTCCTAAAAAAACATCACATGTTTAAGTAAGACAGAAACAACCAAGAAATTCTCTTCAGTCATATATGTGGTGATAGTTGTCATATTTAAAATTCCTCAGTCATTTCTACTTCAAAATACCAACTTGCAACAACCAAGCTCAAATTGTACCAAGTACAAGGAAATTTTTTTATCAATTTTTTTATTTTCCCTATAATCTTTCAAAACATTTAATATTAAAGACACTATAAGGTGGAGAACAATATCTAAAGTTTGAAGAATTTTTGTGTTTAACATACCTAACTAACCAATAGAAAAGTGATAGGGTATAAATTTTTAAATTATTTTGACAAAACTATGTATAAAAATAACGCGGATTTATGTTAAACCTTAATGAGCATACATTATGGTTATAAATTTAATGGTAGATTATTGCAAGTTGGCCTACACCTCACAGATTCAACACAGCGTGGTAAAAGTTGAGATTACTTCTTGACGTTCGCCGCACTCGCGTCCGTTGCGTCCATTTTCTCGTCCGTCTTAACCACTTTGCCTTCACCTGCGAATATATTTAGCAATTAAATCATTAATCGTATAAACATTGCAATGTTTTCTATAAAAATATAGGCCAAAAACGAGTAAAAAATTAAATGTTTCTTTGTAAAAATTGCATTAGTTTTTTTTTATAAATAATAACAAGAGAAATATACATTCAAAATGGATCACCATCTTTTCGTCGAATATTAATTATAACACGTGGATCAGAGTGCCATATCGTCAAGGACCATACCGTCGCAAACGAAATTGAGTTAGGCGTCGAAAAACTCTACGCTTCTCCCCTTTCGTTATTGTCGTTACAGTCTCAGATTCGTCATCTAGTCTCATCATGTCCACAACATAGTGTAAAATGGTGTCACAATTGGGTTTTTGACAGTGATAAAATGGAATATTTTTATAAGCTATCAAACCGAACTTAAAATAGAAATTGTAGGAGAATATAGTGTAACTTAAAATAGTGGACTGATAAAGTATTTAGATTGATAAAAATATCAAATTAACAAATGTTTTATGAATCACTTTTTATTTGAAGTTGTTTCTATCACTTAATACTGGTTTATTAGTATCGCTACACTTTTCGACTTTAAAAGTGAGGACATATTCTTAATTTATTTTTTTAAAATATTGCTGCTTTAATTTCACTAGTTTATTGTATACAAAGCAATAAATGGTAATATTTATTATACATATAAATCGGATATATTCAATTAAAATTTAAAGTGTACATTTATGAAGGAAAACTGAAGCAGCAGATGAGCAGCATTTTCCAGACAACTTAAAACACAAAAAAACACGGCGGTTGTCGATCCGCCTGCCAAGCGTGGTAACTATGGCAAAAGCTCCTCTATGAGGAAATCTATGGGGGAGGCCTGTGTGCACCAGTCTATAGGCTGTATTGGATCTTTTCGTATCTTTTATTTTAAATGTTACATCCACACTAGAATTTTCACCTGTATTGTGGTTAACATTTCACAAGGACAATCATACAGACCCGGAACAATCGTTAGTCATAAAAATAATCCGCGCCGGTTTCGGACCCCGCGACCAATTGCGCTGCAACTCATTTCATTGCCAAGCCCATGAGGTTAGAGAACAGGAGAACGATCGCCGTAGAAAATAGTGTATAATATAGTAGAAATATGGACACCATAAGTGAGGCGCTGCGATCGCTAAGTTCGCTCAATAAAAGTCATTTTCAGTCTATTTTTCCGATCAGATGCTAAACCACTTGCACATCCACGCACAATAAAATATTTCTCCATTTTTTAATGTTTTTTTTATCAAAAAATTAAAATTACAGAGCATGAAATTTTTTTCACCAATTCCACGGAGAAAATTTGTACATTATTCAACTTACTTCATCTACTTGTACTCATAAACAGCTAACTTCGCAGTCACTACCTACCGACGTCAGCGCCGCTATACATTCTACAATTTTCAAGGACAGGCGGGCTATGCTTTCGTACGTAGTAATCGTTCTCCTGTTCTTTAACCTTCGTTGCCAAGCCACTGCGCCACGGTGCCGTCAAATTAATGACTAGCGACCCGAGCCGGGTTCGCACAGGTGATTTATAGATGTCGACAACAGCGTATCTGCCATAGCGCCCGCTGCAACTAATTGCTAAGCTACTGCGCCACGGAGCCGTGGATGGATGGATGGAAGCAAGTAATATTAGAATATTTGGTAAAGTGAATTTGAAACAGGAATAGTGCTGTACCGCTACCGTTGGGCTGGTCGGGCTCGGGGTCGGTGTTGGAGCGCCTGCGCTTGCGCGGGAACTTCCATCCGCCGCCCGCGTGCTTCAGCTTCGGCAGCGGCTCCATGTCCAGCACCTGCAGTTCATGTGTTAAGCCACCTTTGTATTCTGATTCTATGTGCGGAATCCTATTTTTATTTATTTATAAAACAAGGTTTTACGGACTTTATTACGTATATCTATTAACTTTTTTATATTTCCGATATTCCGAATACTTTGCAGCACCCATGGGTTACGAGGGGACAGGTGTTCGAGACGTCCTAATGTCATAATTAACCACGACTACCTTTGATTTAAAATACGTAGATCGGAGCAAATATTAATAATTTTAAACTCCTAAACCACTCCGTAAAAATTTTTTTTATTTAAATGTGTAGTGTTTGCGTTTACATAAACTATATTATTATTTACAAATTGTAAGAATAAATATGAAATGTATCTAAAGAGGAATAAACAGATTCAACTTAAAAAAAGAACCTATTTGCTATTTTAGCAATAACATAAATTACAAAATCAAAAATAAGAATTAAATTTACTTTGCAAATTATCTGAAAATCGAATAAACATTCTGAATGTTAACCTAATGTATTGAACCTACCCTACAAATTTAAGGTATACTGCACAATCCCTTCTAATTACTTTAATATACCTTGCCATTATTATTAAAATATTAAAAGTAGAAATCACAAGATTTTCATGGCATTACTACAACTCAACATTGACTTTGGAGTAGCAGAATGTTTATTATTCTCTAAAGGTACTAAGACAACAAATAATACAAATTATAAATCATTCACCTTGTGTATTTGTCTAAATGCAATTTGTCTTAGGAACTGCTGAGCAGATGCTGTCAAATCCTCACGCTTCTGTGGTGGCATGTTACCCAGGGCGTCCTGTAACAAGAAATATTAATATTTTTATATTTTTTTTGTATATGGCATGAGCAATAAGCTCCATCTTACTTAATTAATGGTTGTACCTTGGGAGCTAAGCGCCGGCCGCAAATATCACGCGATCAACCAAATCCATTAATGTAACCGCAGGAATTTACTAATTATTGCTCTTTACTTTACTATGTACTCGGCAGTGAAGAATACGGACGCTTAATTAAAATATTTTGAAAAAATGTGAAGTCTACCAAACATTACAATAAAAATGTTGTGGTGGACTAATTTATCTAATGACCACAATTCCACCTGGTTGTATGTGGTGATGAAACCCTAAATGGTACATCGCACTGTCTTAGCGTAAGAATCCCGTTTGATACATACCTATAATATAAAATCAACTGATAATACGGATCTTGACATTTTTAACGACACCTTACACAATTATGTATATATGGGTCCTTTTTTTTTGAATTTTCGTTAAATTTATGTTGTGACAACCTGTAACTTGGTTCAATAAGCATTATATGCATAGATAGAATGCAATAAATAGCATATATCGTACCTACAAGAGGATGTAGAAAAAAAAAGCCTATTCACTCTTGCCTTGAAAACACTATAATAGTATTCGAACGGAAAAACAGACGCTGGCAAATTATTCCACTCCTTTGCTGTAGGTGAATCTACGTTATCCTTAGAAAACGAAACTGTTAATCATGAAGTCGTGGGTTCACAGCTCTCAGAAGCCCAGTGTGAGGAAGTTGGCGGTGGCACTGGTGCAGTAGAACCGAGTATCTGGTTCTACTGGTAGTGTACTGGTACTAGTGCTGGTACTGGTGGCGATACGTACGACGAGCTCCTTCTCGCAGGGGTCGCGCAGGCCGGGTCCGTGCTCCAGCAGCAGGCCGCCAGCCAGCGCCTCCATGACGCGCCGCAGCGCCTCGCCCGGCGACAGGGCCGCGCCCGCCGACTGCATCACGCCCGACACCAGCAGCTCCATCGCCTGCACATACCACCAAACCCTTATCCTACATAATACACGACGGCACAGTGGCGCAGTGGTGCATTGGTTCAGCAATAAGTGGCAGCGCTGAGGGCAACAAGTAAGAATCCCCCATAGAACAATTATTTGTATAATCTATAAATAATTGTTCTGGGTCTGGATCTCCTAGCTTAGCCTAGGTGTAACATTTCAAAAAAGGAATCAATCATACATAGTAGTACGTGGTAGTCACGCTGCAGCTATATTATGGTTGTAGAACAAATGAATCAGCTCAACCAGGGAAGGACCATGCTCTCACAGAATACCAGCATAAAAAAGCAGCTTAATACTGCTATTTCGTATGGTGTGTAGAGATCTGGAGACCATTTTTTTCTGAAAACGACGCATTCTATCTTAGTCCTCAGGGGTGACAACGCATCTGCGTTTTGATTCTTAATCGAAAATAAATGTAGTCTATGGATCACAGCATCCACTTACCATCAGGTGGAAGTGTGCGCATTTGACACCTTTATTCTATAAGAAAAAAAGGTCAACGCTCTACCAGACAAATGTGCTAGAGCCGTACTGCAGCTTGTTATGGTTGTAGCATGAATGGGTCGGCTCAGCCAAGGAAGGACCACTCTCTCAAAAAATATCAGCATAAAATAGCAGCTTTTAATGCTGCAGTGTTTTATATGGTAAGTGTGCCAGACCAAATACAATTTGTTAGTAAAAATGTATTTAAATTTAACTTAACGTTTTATAATCGAGTTTTTTGAAATAAAGCTATGTATATATGTTTGAATATTGATTTTGACAACACACTTAACGGAAACTACAGAGTTTTTGTTACATGTATACATAAGAATAAAATTATTACAATAAATATTAAGAAAGTTCAGTGGTCAAACTAATGTATTGTATTTTTTTTTAAATTAAATACGCATAACAAACAATCACAGTTTACTGATGGTAAATAAATGTACACTATGCCTCATACACACTTACATATGCCCTTGATTAACAATTAAAATACAATGCAATTCACCAGCATGAGGACAAAGACGATATGCCTCATTTCCCGTAAAAAGGTTCTCCAGTTCTATACACTCATCAAACACAGCAGTATTTAAGTGCTATTTAACACTGCTTTTGTGTGAGAAATTGAATTAAAGAGGTATATACAAAATTATTTATATTTAATTTCAATTTGTTTTATTTTCAATGGAAATTTTCCAAAATATGGCATTTCAATCATTTTATATCTTTAGTTCACAAGTACTTGTGTTAAGTATATCTTTTATACACCTAGCCTCTCACATATGAAGAGCTTTCCTTTAGTCATTGGAAAGTTCAACCAAGACTGATAATTGAGCGTGTGGTTATCATCAATGCACTCAGCGATGAGTAGAATGTCTTTGAAGAAATGTATCAATGATGAGTGATGAGTGGATTTAACACGGTAAAGTACACTCACGTATGGGTTGAGCGGGGTCCAGTTGGGTATGCGGCGGCAGAGGTCCCGCAGGATGCGGATGATGATGACGCACGACTGCAGACTGGCCGCGCGCGCCTGCACACACGCACGCACGCACACGCGCTCGTCACACGCACACGAGCGCTCTATACGGAACCTCTCAACCCCACACCTACTCCTCACACCCGACCTACTATACAGTGGGCTCATCGCAATCCGGTGAATTTTTTAGAATTTTGTAGTGTAAAATGTAATCGCTTGTAAAGAATGAGGACTAATAATCTTCCGCTCACCAAATATGCTGCTTAATTAGGAAGTTATCACTATGTATAAAAACTAATTACTGTCCATTATAGTCAACCAAATCTAAGAAATACCTTTTGATGTTTCACATTAATCATTCCGCAATAACTTTGCACCAGCGTACTTACACGATTTAAAATAACCTTTTACGTAAATCCGAAGCATTATGAAGTTATCTATATTTCATAACAACGTGTATAGTTTTTTATCACTAATTTAAATTTGAATTTTTAAAACAAAGCAAAATATTAAAAAATAACCAGCATTAACTTTTTCTTGACGTCGTTTCAATGATATGTCGCTATGTATAATACCGTAGATGATCAAAAAATCGAATCATTAATTTTTTTAATGTATTATTTGTTTCATTTAATTTTTATTTTCAAAATTCCTTAATTTACATGAATCATGAATAAACCAAGTTTATTTTTTTTACTTTGTCAAAAGTAAATTTGTGTAGACAAAAAAACTCATATACAAGGCCGTGCTAAAATAACTACTGTACTACATAGTTTCAATATCCCGCCATTTCGGTACCAGTTACTCGACTCCTCAGAGTCAGTTATTCATTCTTGGGGAGATCTATACGCTTTTACAACAAAATCCCAGAAAATATACAAAACTTGACGTAAGTACACAAAGATTAAAACTTTATTAAACTATAAAAAAAAATTATTCGTTGAAGCATGTGCTCATGTCACAAAGGATGATTGGGCAGAAAACAAAAACAAATTATTACGGATGACTTTGAAACAGACATTAATTTTGACTACATTACTGAAAATAAAATAAATAATTAATATAAACAACGACATCTCTACTAGTTTTACTGAAAGTGATTGAATAAATTTATTTTTAATCTAGTTTCAATCTTAAATTTTATAACCGTGCCTCTAGAAATAAGCAGTAACAACAAATACGAAGAAACTGATAATCTTGTGTTTTAAATTATCAGTTTTTAATTTATTCTGGTATTATTCAAATCTAACTAAATGATTACCAACTCTAAATAATCGTTAACAATTTTTTTAAGAATCGAATATTGTACGTTCCCATTTTTTGGTTGGCATGCTTGGTGCAATAAGTCTGACAGCTGTCAAAAGGTATTTCTTAGATTTGGTTGACTATAGTCTTGCTAAAACTCAAAAACGGATCGACTGATTTTAGAATATCCGTAGTTTGGTTTATTCATTTTTAATCTAATTAATATAAAATATCTAATATTGCAAAAAGAAACATTTTTTGTATGTATGTTTTCATAAAACCGTAAATTTTTATATTCAAACCGAACTCCCGTCCGAACTTCGGTTTGAATATAAAGATTCATGAAGTCATGCGACATGAATCCATGCTGTTCATGTGAGTCTCTTATGGGGGTTAAGATATATAAAATATCTCGGTGTACTTGTTGACAAAAATCTGGGATTTAAATTGCAAATAGAAGTTCTTTCAAACCGAATCAGAAGGATTATTCATATAATGAGAAAGCTACATTATATAACAAATAAGGGAATACTAAAATCTATGTATAACGCCTTTTGTCAATCGCTCGCCATTGCAATCGTATGTCGCATATATATAATCGCATTGCTTTTGTCGAAACATATTTAATACAGATCGAGAAAGCACAGTGGGCAGTTTTTAAAGGCAATGCTAGGAAAACCATAAGGATACCCTACTGCAAGTGTATACGAAAATGCCGGAGTACTTACTGTACGTCAACTTTTTGTGCTAAATACGTCCTTAGTACACATAAGTACATACATAGTAGACATAAATGCATATTGTCTTCCAATGACCACAAACTACTGACAAATCGCTGGGTATACAATCTATCCAAACGTTCTGTTAATACTAAATTTGTGCATCGTTTTGGAGACTTTTATCAAAAGACGAATTTTTAATAAAGCGGTAAAACATATTATAAATAAAAACTACGCATCTGAGAAATTAATTATATTAAAACGGTTAATCACCCTTTCATATGAAGAAACAGAAGAATTGTTTAAAACTGGCCTTTGCTAATTAATGGTATTTGCGAAATTATTAGGTAAATATTGTTTATTTAATTTTTATTTTCTTTTTAAATGTCAATATATAGTAAACACGGTCCAGTTACATAAAACTAGGCCTGGTTGTTAAGTTTCTATCTTATTATGTTTATAAGCAATAAATATAGTTGACGGCGCGAGTCGTGAGCACAGAGGAACTATGGTGGGGGTTGAGCCAGCGTAAGTACACTGTCGGCCAAAATTATTTGGTACCTTTGTTATTTCAATTCGTAATTGAATACTTTCGCTGATTTTTTTCGAAATTCTGAGTCGTTAACACCTTTCAATATACGCCGTACAGTAGCTACGTAGACATTAGTCGCCTCAGCAGTCTGTTTCTAAACATCTATCATGTGTTTCGCAGTACCTAATTTTTTCATGTAACAAAACACTGAATAGACTATTTGTCCGGATGTCTATTTAACACTGAATTCTTTCTTCTCTGCATATTTAGACCAAAATCTGAATGCTCTCGGACTCATAACAGAAAAAAATAACAACAAGAAAACACAAATCCACACCAGAACAAAAAACCCCTGGGAAGGGTGATCGCTACCAAGCTATTTCTAATTTGTCTTGTGTTGTGTTAATTGTAAACAAGATTGTAAGCTATTATTTGAAAAAACAAAATAGTCCCGCTGGGCTTCTTGGTGGTTCTTCCCAGGACAGAGGTTTTTTTGCGAACCAGTGGTAAATGAAAAAATTGACTTTCAATAAGTATTGTTTATAATCTACATTGAATAAAAGTTTCTGTTTCAATCTGTCTGATAAGGTGTATAAAATAACGCCTAATGAACTTTGGTCTCAGATTACCTAGACACAGGCTTGCCTAGTGGTGAAACCAACAGATATTACCTATATTATTTTTGTTTTATTATTGTATATTTTTTTCTGTTAATAAAACATTTCTCATTTTCAACATTAACCCTTAGATTTTCCTTACAACTTCCCTGTAAGGAAATCTGTCATATACATATTTCACCTCATTGTTAAATGGCACTGCCCTAGCGGCAGAATAAGTCGTGGACACCCTGATTCTCAAAAACTTACAAACTATACTGAAGGGAACTCACCAAGTTGATGTACTCAAGTTCAGATTAAGAGGTTGATTGATGCAGAAAGCTTTCAATGCCTGGTGGTCATTATGAAACTTACATAGTAATTAATAAACCCAATAAAAACCAAATTTTTCATTCAAAACCATTTTAAAATTAGGCGTTAGATTGCATGCCCACTGTAAAGCAGAAATGGTAAATTCTTTCTTCCTATAAGAACTTTCGTAATATAGGTCAAGAGATTCCGTAAAATAGTATCAAAACAAAACAAAGTAGAGCAATGAATGTGTTATTATCTCCATTGGATTTGACTAAGCTTAAACTGCGTTTCCCAATGCTTTCTGATCAACTCCCATACACAGGCTTTATCAAAGTGCGGATGGAAACGCAGCTTTTCAGACAAGCACTTTGTAGCCACATGTTCATGGGAGCGACAAACATTATAATAAAAATCACATATTATTTCAAAAACAAAATCTACATTATTATACAAAATAAAACATGTGACTAAATTAAACGTGCGCACTCCCTCTAATGTTATAATAAATTATTGCAATAATCAGACTGGATTGAAATTTGTTTATTCTTTCAATTTCCATAAGGTACAATTTTAAGCAAAAGATAAATCATCAATGTCACAGCAATATACTAGAAACATTAAATCAACAAAAATAATTAATGGAGTATCGCTGCGACTTTGCTTGATGCAAGATCTTTTAAGAATGAACAATTTTGTGTAATACATAAAATCAATAAAAAATTAGAGATGAAAGCGATAGATTTATGTGGAGTGCGCACACGTTTGGTAATGTGGGCGAATGTACCTGGAACCACTTGGCGTGCCGAAGGGCGGCCAACGCGTCCAAACACTTCTGCCGCGGTAGCACATCCTTGTCGTCTCGCTTTATGTCGCCACCCTCTAGCGACAACAACACAAAGGGTGTTTGACCATCAACACATCGACGAAAACGGGGCAAACATGGCGGGGCACCCTACCGTCCTAACTACCGACGGCTTTATATCACCGCCATACTAACAAGCAAACCATATAAAATACTTCAATTATATATTCACGTATATCAAATAAATATTTTGCAATTACCAAAAACAATTTTACACTAACCTAATCACAGCTTCGATAATAAAAAATAAATATAATCTACATATACAAACATTACATAAATTGGAAAAAAATGTTTGCTCCGTTTCAGTAGACATCAATATACCACCGCGGAGACATAACCCACGTGATATATCTCAAGGGATGATCAAAAATCCTTTACTTCTTGCCGCTTATTCTACTCACACCTAAAAATAAGCATTCAACACATTGCCCGGCTTACGACCGAGCGGTAAATTGAACAAATTATCTCATAGTTTCATTAAAATAGTGAAATTATATAAACTTATTAATATATACACAATAACAATGTAATAAATATTAGGTTAAGAATTCTGATCATTTTAGATAGTTTGTTCTCTGATCAGTATAATGAACACTGACAAATATAACAGCCAATGTCTGCTGACACAACTTTTGGTATAACAGTTTGCATGAATCTTGAGACTCGACCTTCAGTCGGTGCAGCAGACCCATTTGGTGGAGTAAGGTGAAGCAAACCTTTCCGCTGTGTAATTAGTTCAGTTATTGTTTGTCAGAGGAAGCGAGCTAGTGCAAGTCTCACATCACGAGTCCAGGTCTCAAGACACGTGCCGACTGCAATACAGATGGATCGGTCCAGCAGTTATACAGTGCGTACCTGCAGGCTCTCGCATGACAGCCGACGTGAGGCTGACCAGCACGTTCACGTTGCCATCCGATACTTGCACAGCTCCCTCAGCGGCCTGAAGCTCCACTTTGTATTTGGGCTCGTCACCCGGACCCTGCAATTAGTGTGTATGCAAAATATTATATTGTAAAATAATCTTTAAAAAAGTTGTAATGACAACAAACAGAATATACAAGGTCTCTTTATAACGAAGTTTAAATATTTTACTAAACAAAAACTGTATAAAAGGCTTTAAGTTGCAGTCTATATACATCCCACTGCGGGGCACAGGCCTCCCCTCATTTCTGAGAGGGTTTTAGGGTAAGGAAGTGTCCACCGCGCTACCCTGATGCGTTTTGGAGAACTTTACATGTCTTCGAAATATTTTTCTTCTATCTCTCAGACATACAGGTTGTCTCACGATGTTTTCCTGCACCGCCCAGCACGTGGTAAACTTCTAGCAGTTAAAATTGCAATTACGAATTTCATCGGAGCCGGCGGGGATCGGAGCCGGCGGGGATCGAATCCGGGTCGCTTACTGTGAAATTTACAGCGAGCGCTAATCATCTAATGTCACGTAAATATGTATAGAATATAAATTATTTTATTCTATAGAATTAACATCCTACGTCAGGTGTGGCGAACCTTTATGTATCAACGTGCCATTTTTCTAAAGAAATGTTTAAAATTTAAATAGGTAATAAACATGCCGGAAAATAATTTTGACATTGGTATTATTGGGAAATTAATAGTGCTAAATACTATCAACTCAAAACTCTATACTTACTACAAAAAATAAAGAGTTTTGAGTTAAGACATTTATTATAATACATAACACATTGCAACACATTTTGCAATGTATAATTATAAATGTTTCAGCTATACGCGTAATTCAAATATAGTAACATTAGTGTGACTTCTGTTGATGCAGATTAGATGACAAATAACTTATATTGGGGTAAATATAACACAAATGAACTTTTAAATACAGTTGTGTCAACGAAATTGACTATTATGCTATGTATAAACGAACTATGCATTCATGGGGGAGGTGTGGACTTGTGATGGGCTGTAATGATGATAATGAAACGAACTATGCATCATTAGCAATAAGGCCACGATGTAACTAGGACCACTCGCATTCGTTCGTAATATAATACTTCATAATGAATTTATAATCGGTGGCGTGCCATTTGTTCGCCATCCCTGTCCAAGGTGATAGTGATTTACGAGAATACAATGAATAAAATAAAAATTTCAAATTAAATAAAATCACGCTTCAAGAATTTAAAAATAAGTTTGGAAAATCTAAAAGTGCACGCCTCATTTAATTTTGATGAAAATAAAAATTGTATTTCTGACTTTTAAAATATATTATTTATGTTTTAAATTTAGCGCTCTATTATTTTAACAGGTAAGGGGGCGTCCATAAATTACGTGAGATGTTTAAGGGGGGGAGGGGGTTGAGTCAAATCTCATCTAATCTTACGTTGGAGGAGGAAAATCACTCACTCAGCAAATATCATGCAACCAGTAAAATGTAAATGTTTATTTAAAACTTGCCACTTAAACAATTTAGGTGTTGCGTTCGTAGTTAAATAGTGTAGTCTTACGTTTATATATTTTTGAAAAATAGGAAACTAATAGATCTAATTCTGAAGCTAATAAAAAAATTCGGTTCTCGATACGTCAATTTTTTCGGGAGTTATCGTGACCACATACAAAATCGGAATAAAGTGTACGTAAAACGAACATGCAAGTAATTTTTTTTTCATACAGTATATAAAATGTATTTTTAGAAAACGCAACGCCATCAACACCAAGCCCCCAAATGAAAAAAAGCGCAAAAAAGAAAAAAAAAAAATAAGATGAATTAATTAGTGTTTTCTTGATATAGGGTAACTCATATTATCGTATAAGTGCAATATGCTTATGAGAGGCAAATCACTAATTGAGAATTGAGAGGTAAAAAACAAATTGCTTGACTTGAACATGTCGAGAATAAAGTTAAAAAATAATAATATTACTAAGAAATATCACAAACTTATAATAACAAGTAGAATGTTGTTTGAATAATAGTTACTATTAAATCGAGAACCTCTTTCTTTTTTGAAGTGGACTAAAATCAAATTGAGCATATTTAAGTGTTTCATTTTAATTTATTCTTTTAAGTTAGTGCTTGATTTACTTGATGTTACTTGATGTTAAGTGCTAGATTTTGCCAAAGATATTAAAAAGAGCAATAATTTAATTTAATAAAATTTCATATTCTTGTCATAAAAACACATGATAGTGAGATGGAAAGACATGCTGGCAAATTATTTCGCTCCTTTGTTTAACTTTATTTCACGACAGAGTAGTTGAATGGCAGATTTGGACCAATAACCTTTTGAGTTCGCGATTCTCACCCGGGCACGAGGCTGATGTTGCTCAATCTATGTGTAGACGTAGACAATAGCACGGATACCTTAACGCGCGCGAGGTGGTGCGGCAGGTCCGCGGCGACGCGCTTGAGCAGCGTCACGGTGGGGCGGTCGTGGCACAGAACCACGAGGCGCACGTCGCGGTCGCCGCGCAACAGCAGCCCCTTGGCCAGCAGCCCCACGCGCATCACGCCTTTCAGCGCGCGCACGCCCGCCTCGCCCGCGCCCGCGCTGCCGCCCACCACACCGCCCGCCGCCGCACTCGGAGCGCCGCCCGCCCCCGCACCCGCGCCCGCGCTAGCCTCGCCCTCGCCCACGAACGAGAACCTGCAACAAACGAGACGATACAACATAAATGTCTTCGATATTATTATCTATATAAACGAAATACAATACCTCTAAAATTATACACCCAATGGACTTCAAATTATAGTTACCTAATTTACAATATGTGCTCACAAAGAACGGATTTTACTACTTCCATAAAAAAAATTCTTTTTACAGACTTCAAAAAGGAGGATATTCAATTCGACTGTATATATTTTTTTATGTGTGGTGTTACTTCATAACTTTTCTCTGGGTGAACCGATTTTTTTTTCATCTGAAAGCTGATGCTTCTAGTATGGTCCCACATAAATACAATCAAGTACTGATCAATGTTTTTGGAGTTATATTTAATTATGTATATTTAATTGACTACAAATACATTGATTCGGTCGTCTTGAACTTGGTTGTACAGAATTTTGAATTTTACTACTTGTTATTATTGTCTATTATCGTACGCCCAGCCAGCGAAGCTTCCGTAAAAGCCAAAAAGCCGGGCTTGCTTTATTAATCAATAATATCAACTAATAAAATAACTCATAAACTGTTTCAAATTATTTCAATTTTGCCGCGCACTCCACTATTCGACACATGTCGACCGATGACCTCGTATTGCCTTAGCGATACGTTTATACAAAGGTACTCTGTGGCGACACTGCTGCTGTCATAAAGTGAGTTTTAATAGAGCGATTCGTTGTCTCCCTCGCTCGCTTGGGCTTTGTACGGGGCTTTCGAGAAGACGATCGCTCTCTTTCTAACCTATGGCAAAATATTCCATAATGAAATATAACTACGAAATGTTTATATAGCAATTACTATTGAGCCAACAAGCCTGGCTTTGCCATGAAGTTGTTTAGGAGTGCGTTAGCGACTAGCGAAGTGGTTGCGGGTCCCTCGTATGCAAGTTCACTTCACATTTCAATGTTTGTTTTTGTTGTGTTTGTTAAAAATTTATGCTTTTTCGAAGATTTTCAGTGAAAATGGGAGGATTATTTTCATTGTGATGAATGTAAGTGTGTTGAAGTGCTAATCGGCGAGGAAAAGGTAAAAATCTTTAAAAATGAAATTTAATATTCAATAAACATTTCTTCATACTTTAAATATAGGTACAGGACTCTTTAGTATTAAAGTTTAATTAAGTTAGGCGTATTTAAAGGTTTAATAACTCAATATTTATAATACCATACGAATTAAAAATATCAATTTGGACAGCAGCATAAAGTATAAGATAAGTGTTACAATCTTTTTTTAACGTTGAAGTCCAAATTTTAATTAAATAAATCAAAAGAATACAGAAGAATGTATTGAGGTTTTTAAAGAATAGTACTCCCTTTAGTTATTTCCAGTTAGGTTTCTCTGTCTACTTTTCAGTATATAAAATTTTAATGGCGCCATCTACTTAATTCTATAGGTCTTGGTTGATTCTCACGATGGTACCTAAAGATTACGCTAGATGGCACAAATAAACTATCGGCTAATTTATAGTGATATATGAGTTAAAAAATATCATTTTGTACGGTTTATTATGAATTGAAAATGAATAATTATAATTAAAATAAATAGTCATTATTTCATGGTAAAAAATTAGCAAAGCTTCATCTTCTCATTATAACTATCTAATTCCTGTCGTAATCTGTTCTTTTATGCATATAAACAAAATATAATTTAGAGGTTTCACATCTGCCAGGTATCCCTTTTTTAACTTTGTACATAGTTTGTTTTTACTTTGTTCATGCTTTTCTTTTGTTCATGTATTGTATTGTTTGTAAATATCTCAAGCAAACCCAAACGGCTCTTTTCAAAACCACCGAAGGTGTGCAATTGCATATTATGTCATACAATCTATCTAGCGGTAGTTTGCTTTCTGTGTGCTTTGTTAAACACGTCCTTGACAGCACTGAATATGAAACTAAAGAGTGGAGACAGCTCAAGATTGGTGTATTTTTATTAAACTGCTAAAACAACAAAACCATATCTTGAGCTTGCCCTAGTTTGGAGCCCTAGCTTCGCCACTACGCCCAGCGAAGTAAATGTGTATCAGCTAGTATTACCTCTAGGCCTCTGTCACTCTCGCTACCTGCGTGAAATAATTACCTAAAATCGCGAGGCACCCTGGGCGTTATACGCAGTCGGGGCTAGCGCGATGTAGGCGATTCAATGTTAAAGTTTTTTAGCGCTGTTTACGTAAATACTTGTTGAAATAGTTTTTGTTTAGTGTTTAGTATATGTTGTAGGTAAAAATTGTTGTAAGTTTTAATGTATTTTAAAAATTATATATTACGTATATTACCTATTTGATAAATTATAATAGCAAAAGGTCGTTCCTACTATAACTGTTGCGTGGATGGATACTAAATGAAACAACCAACAAAAGATTTCATATCATTCTTTAAGTTACTGAAGAATTTTAGAAGGAAATTATGAAAGGTGAATTTATTTAATTTTTTTGTTAGATTATTATATACAGCAAAAAAGAATTAAGTAATAATTTGGTCTACAGAAGAAATACCTAAGTACTTTATTACAAAAATTTGTTAAAATTTACTTCACTATCCAAGTATTTACTTACATACATACCGATACTTGTATTTTGTAATTAAAATATTTTAAGTTATAATAACACAAAATACTAAAATTAAAACTTTGTATACTAAGAAGATTTTTAAGTAAGTAGAATAGATCACATTTCTGTTAGGAAGCGTCTTTCAGGTTTATTTGTTGTTTAGACTATCTACCCATTTCTTCCGAACCAAGCGTAGCGATTCCCGACGAATGACCTTGCAATTTGCATGCGTTAGGCATCGCAGAACTCACATAGGGGCGAAAGTATGGTCAGTCGATCATAGTCAGAATAGGTACTTCATCTAAGTAACATATTTAACGTTTCGCAATGTATTTTTTTACTTTCTATTGACATCCCTTAATAACCACGGAAAGTCCGACGTGACTTAGGAAGCGGAAAAGATGCAAAGTAATATGGACACTTACGCGCAGCGATTAAGTTTTATTTAGCTTGCGTGCGCGATTTATCTGATTAATAATAATTATGTAGGCTATTAAACGTCGGCAAGCAGTTGATATCAAAGGAGTGCAACTTCTGTACGTAGTACTATTATTTATTCTGTGGTATTATTATATTGCGCAATTCATTCTAACATAATCATTGTTAGTAGCAGGATATGAAATGTATGCGTTGTCCTTTGCTGTAGATTGAAAGCATGGCAAAAGAAAAATATACACGACAAGGTTTCGTTTACTTTGTCCCTCCAATGGCTGATTTGACATGTTGAAAACAATTCTAGTAAGAGTAATCATTAAGTAAAGAAAACCGAAGTCCGAATTATTAGATTTGATATATATGAATCTGAAATATTTCTAATTTTCCGTTTAAAAAAACGTAATGTTATATTATTGTCAGCTAGCCAATATGCACTAGGCAGTGCAGAGGACTTCATAGCTCACTTAGAAATAAGAGATGTCCTGTGACCAGCGGTTAATTGTTAATTTATGTCCTCCACAGCGAATATCGCTCATGGCAGCCAGTCTTAATGATGACTAGATATCTGTGAAAGACATGAACTTTCCATACCATCATTCCTAGTCCGATGGGACGGCAAATCGACACGACCGGAAGAAATCAGGCGCAGACGCCAACGACTCGAAGTCGAAGCAACTCATGATTAGCATTAGCGTTTACTAACGTGACAGCAATAGAACTTAAACAAACATTAATACTTTACTTGTATAATTTAAAAAAGTATACTCACAGCTGATTGTCGCGACCATCCTCTTTGCCTTCTGATTTGTCATCTTTTTTGTCATCAGGTTTAACTCCACCTTTAGCAGGCTGATTCTGCACGATAAAATAATAGTTGTACAAAATAAACATATGTAGCATAATATGTTATTGTGGCTGTTTAATGAATGTGTAGTTTGGTTCTCTGGCTCATTAGGATCCACCCAGTGTAGTTAGCTTGTAGATGTGTTTTAAAGCATTATTTAGAGAATGTCTGATGATAAGTCTCCTTTTTATTGGAAATGAGGCATTCCATCTTCGTCCTCGGGGTGACAGCACATCTGTATTTTGATTCCTAATCAAAGACAGATGTTAATGGGCTACAGCATCCACTTACCATTAGGAGAAATGTGTGTTCACCTTAACCTTTTATAAAAAAAATTGGGTATGGCTGTGACGGGACCACGTGCAGCGAAATGACTTTAAAATCCGCCGCGCGCTCTGTATATATATATACACACACATCACAATATTAATCCTACGTCCTTTCATTTCGCATTATTGTAGCGTCCACTACTCGTAGGCAATTTTTATACATTATGACAGCGAATATTGGTCCATTAATAATTTCAAGGAGCGTTTAACTCATTTCTTTGAAAATTTACCATATGTCTATTTACAAATATTCGTACATTGGCAGACGGAGGGAAACCAATCAGGACTCCCTCCCATATTACCAATTATCCGGAATCCCCGTAATATACATAGTTTTTAATTAATTCTCCTGCTTAACGCAATTCCTTTATATGGTGCGACGTTGCCACTCTTATAAGTTATTCCGCTTTGTAATATTTTATTTATAGGTGATATTTTGTTTATGTACCTAGGTACTCGATAGATAGTCAAGATTACGGGAACGTAAAATGATTTTTTAAAAACTATTTAAAATCTATTTTATTTCTTAATACACTTATAATTATAACTACTTAATTAATACGTCTTGACAGAAGTCGATGTCAGAACGAAGTGGCCGCTCCCATGAGCTCTGCCTGATATCTCATGCAACCAAAAGCGCTGACTCTACAATTACTGGATACTGTCTAATGCTTATGCAGCCCCTTCTAAATACGAACCGTAACAACCCTATGGTCTTGTGGTTGCATAACTCCTCCCTCTCCAAGAGCGGAATTATCGGCTGCAGTGTTTTCAGCTGTTGTCCGATGATTCCGCCATCTGTTAACTAAATTACTTTTACATTTTCTTAAAACGCTAAGGAAAATAACAATAGGTAAAATAACATACAGTAATAAAGTAGCTAAGCTAACACCTCTGACCCTTATCACACTATTATCACTTTGATCACTATGTTCACTGCCACTGAATTTAAGATTTTGATTCAACACATATGCTAGATGTTTCAGGTCATCTAAGGCTAAGCCTTTCAGGTTAACTGCTCCAGTATCCGTCAGGTTCAGGTGATCCAGTCTTGGTAAGTTTATAACTGGGGTCACTCTATAGCCAAGTTCCTTAGCAAAGTATAGGCAGTGCAACAATTTATAATTATCTATGAAGGTCTCACAATCCTCACTAATTTTTATGATGTATGTGCCCAAAAGTGATTCTTTAGTTATGTCATCCTGGCATTTATTTGTTAATATTATTTTATGGTTGGCGTATATAATCCAATTTACAGGGCCGATAGACTGGATTTTGACATCCTCAAGATCAACGAGCCGAGGTTCGCATAGTGTGAGATTGTTTTGGAATTTCATCAGTTGTTCAGCACATGTGTTTCTAGGATAGGATACCATGTTGGAGCTCATACACAGGAATTCATCCGCCGCTATTTCGGTGCACGGCCGGGAGACCGGTAAGTATTGTGAACCTTTCACCAAAATGTAGGGATACTTGGGAATTATTACAGACGTTCTGTTTCTAAGTGCATCGAATACAGGTAATGGGTATAATTTGTAATAATTGTAATTAAAACTATCAGTAAGTGGAACTTCCATCAAGTACGTAATCTGGTTTGCTTTCATGTAAGCTTTTATAACAATAGTTCTTTCAGTCTTTATTAAATTTTCTACATTTACAGGGTACACTAGGTTATCGACTTTGGCTATATCATTAAGTATCACTAACAGTTCAGATGAATTAATAATTGATTGGTGTAATACTGAAACTTTACTTAAAGCTAGAGCAGTTTCTATTTCACTAAGTTTAAGGTAAATACTACGAAAGTTACTAATAAACATATTATACATGCCTAAAATATATGTGTTATAAATTGAATTATTTTCTTTGGTAGCTATGTATTTTACTATTCGTTCAATTCTTTTTAAGCGTTCATCTAATATTAGTTCATTTTCATGTAAAGTTTCTGTACTATTTTTCAAGCTATTCAGCATTTTAGAAACAACAGTGATTTTACTATCAACACTTAATTGGTTGTTCTTTAATTTGGATATAACGGAATCGTATCTAAGAGCATCTTCGTGATCTAAATTGCCGGCGATTGCTTTAATGACTGTACCTAGGGAATCTATGAGACCTCTTTTAAATCTATTGGATGGTACAAGTTGCTTGAATTTTTCAATAGTTATATCGCAAGAATAATCAGCTTGCGTTTTCATGGCTTGGAATTCATAAGCATAAGGTTTATTTATATCAACTAACCTACTAAAATCTTTGAACTTAATAATATTTAAATCTAAATTTTCCTTTATTCCTAATAAGCTAACTTCTTTCACTATAAGCCACCTGCTTGTTTGTTTAAAAGCTTGGCCTTCTTTTACAGGAAGCAGGCCCGGGTTGCTGTCAATTTTTTGAAGTTGAAGACTGCGGGTCCCAAGTATATGAGCCATAGTCAGGATGACCACGCACCACCTGTGGAGGTCGTTTGAAATTTTTAATAGGGACCTTTGTATCCCGTTCACCTATTTTAACGGGAACGATATTACGTTCTGCAGGACCTTGGATAACAGCTTTCCTGTACCTAGGTTTGTCCTTGCTTTTCCTAATATTGATGTCCTTTACGTACGCTATTTGCCCTTCGTTGAGTACTACCTTTGTTTCTCCTCTTTTCCGTTCCCTAGCCTTTTCCTTTTGTTCAATCATTCGATCGGAAATGTACTTATATAAATATTTAGTGCGTTTTTGATGGTCTTTTAACAGCTGTTGGGTATAGGCCCTATCGAAATCGTTATCAAAAACCTTTCCAGAATCAGTGTGCCCAAAGCAGACTTCAAACGGAGTTAAACTAGTAGTTGAATGTATTGTGTGGTTATAAGCCATTATAGCGTAAGTCATAATAGAAGCTGCATCTGTAAATTTCTGCTCGTACTTAGCAATACGATATATTTCAATTATCGTCGAATGAAAACGTTCTATAATACCTGTGGAATTAGGATTATTGGGTGTTGTGATGTGAAGGTCTATTTTATACATATTTGTAAGCTCTCGCATTAGCTCATTGTTAAACTCTTTTCCAGGGTCGCAAGTTATCTTTTTAGGTACGCCATAGAATGAAAAGTACTTTATAAGGGCTCGAACTACCTCGGGTGTGGATCTATTTGAGATTTCAAATGCTTGACCTAATTTACTAAAAGCATCGATTAAGGTAAGAAAATATTTATTTTCTATAGAAAAAAAGATCGATGAAAACTTCCTGAAAAGGAGAATTCTGGGTTTGTGTTAATTGCAAGACCGGTCTAATTGGTTTTCTATCATATTTTGAAATTTTGCAGGTATGGCAATTATTAATTACAGCCGAAACTGTTTCCTGCATATTATCCCAAAAGTAGTTCCTACGTATGCTTACCATGGTTTCCTTTATACCACGGTGACATGTTTTACCCTCGTGATGTTTTAGAATTATTTCCCTCTGTTCGGCCTCGTCTTCTACGTATATGACACGTTCTGTACACTCGAAGAATTCTACAGTGCCCTTTTTAAATAGTTCTATGATAATTTTGGAAAATTGTTTTCTATGTGATTCGTCCTCAAAGTAAATGAAGTATTTAATCTTTGGTTTTACATATTCTTTTAAAAATTGTTTAATTAAGATTTCGTTATTGATAGGTAAGAACACTTCTAAAATTTTGTGCTTTTTGTTTGAAATATCTTTGACCTGCATTTCATTCCTAAACCAAGTGAATATAAGTATTTGATTAGGTTTAGTATCTACAGCTTCCCTTAATATAGGTATACCTGTTGATTCTAATTCTAACGCTGAGTGTACTGTTTCTGTGCTAATAGATGGTACGGGATAAGTTTGTTCGGTTATATCTATTGGATCAGATGCTGAAAGGGTAGCTGATAGGTCAGACACAGTTATTGTATCGGAGTTCTCATTTGGTTTGTTAAGTTTTGCTATGCGGTAAATTTCGTCGGTCAAGCTGTCTACATAGTTTTTAAGGTTTTTGTCTGTATCGGATACATTCACTTGCATCGAATCAGTGTCATCGTCGGAATCTAATGCGTTTAGTTTGATACGAGATAGGGCGTCAGCGTTAGTGTTCTGCTTTCCATTTTTGTAGATTACCTCAAAATCAAATTCTTGTAAACGTAGTCGCCATCTTGTTAATTTACTATTTGGTTCTTTGAGTGCATAAAGCCAGGCAAGAGGTCGGTGGTCAGTATATACGTAAAATTTTTGTCCGTACAGATAAGGTCGGAAATATTTAACTGCCCATATAATGGCTAGAAGTTCACGTTCGATTGTGCTATACTTTGTTTCAGTGTCACTTAGGGTGCGACTGGCGTATGCGACTGGTTTTTCAGAACCAATTGCCCCTTGTGACAACACGGCGCCTAATGCGACAGAGGACGCATCTGTTGTAAGTATGTAGGGTTTAGATGGGTCTGGGTATTGTAAAAGAGGTGCATTAACAAGTAATTCTTTGCATTTCTCAAATGCTTCTATATATGATTTGTCGATAATAATTTTATTCCTTTTCTTCAAGCAATTAAGCAAGCAAGTAAGGGGTTGCGTTATTTTCGCGAAGTCCCTAATGAAACGACGGTAATAGCCTATGAGTCCCAAAAAACTTTTTATTTCAGTGGTAGTTTTCGGAAGTGGGTAATTAATTATTGCTTTTACTTTGTCGTCGTTCGGT